TGCTACAGATCATAAACCAGAAGCCATTTTCAAAGGAAATAGGGTAGAGAGAGAAACATGCTAAGGATGGTGGAACAGAAAGAATTTGAGTTACTTAGGAATACAGCACCAATTTTACATAGTCTATCTTTAGATTCATTTCATAAAATTACCAATCAGCCAGGCTGCACATCCACTGGCATGCAAGAGAGCAAGAATAGGAAGTAGGCTGGGCCAGGCTAGGCCACCACATCCACCAGTTAACATAAGAGCCAGAGCTGAGTGCAGACCAGGCTACGCCAGGTTGCAATACCCGCTGGTGAGTGCCAAGACTGGGGATGGGCCATGACAAGCTGGGCTGCAATACCCATTAGCATGTACAAGATCAGAGTTGGGTGCAGGCCTGGTAGGAGAAGTTGGGGGTCTCCCCTGTTAGGCCACAGCTATCACTGGTAAGTGTGAGAGTTGGATTGAAGACAAGCTGGGCTGGGCTAGGATGCAGTACTCACTGGCATGCATGTGGGTTTGGTCTGGGACAGGGTCAGTCTGGGCTGGTCCACAGTGCACACTGGCACATGCAAGAGCCAGGATGGGGTGTGAGCTGGGCCCGGCCAGGTCACAGCAACCACTGGCTCTCATGACAGCTAGGGCTGACTGCAGGCTGGGCTGGACTAGGCTGAAGCATCTGCAAGCATGTGCAAAAATTGTGACTGCATGCAGACCTGGTGGGGCTTACTAAGGGTCACCCCTACTTGACTGCAGTTGCTAATGTGCATGAGAACCAGGCCTGGTGGGGAGCTAGACTGAGTTAGGCTGCAGCACTTGGTGGTTTGTGTGAAAAATGGGGCTGGAGGGCAGGACTGACCAGGCAGCTGCATCTACTGGTATGGGTATTGGCTGGTATGGAAGAAGAATTGGACCTGACCCTTCACTAAATGGTGCACCCAAGGCACAAGTCTTAAGCCTCCCAGGTAACATTTCCTATGGGATTCCCCAACAGACCACTGGACTCAAACCCTACCTCAGGGAAAATTACAAAATATAAGGTCTGATTTTAGAGTGCATGTGTTGGAACTGGGCCTCCTCAGTGTTGATGCCTGTGCAGTGGACAGTATACCCCGATGCACACAGGGGATATGATAACCAGCTCATCTAGCCCAGCAGAGCACTTCGAGTGCCTCATCAGAGGATGGAAAGCAGAATAGGTTGGACAACCATCCTGGCCAAGATTTGCAGAAAGTGTCTGCAGCAAGTTGTGGAAACCCTGAGGTGGACCTATCAGCGAAGAAAGCTTAGAAAGATTTTCTCAACCATCGTGCAATGAAGTCAACAACATTTCAGAACTATCAAAATCACTCAAGTAACACTCTAACACATTCTTCCCCATATCAGGGTCTCTAAGGTGTCATCAAATGACTGTCCCCCACCCCAGGTACTGATGCTATCTGACAGCAACAAGCAGCCCCACCCCGCTTCCTCCCCTGCTGGCATAGGAGGAAAAAAATAACTGAAATAGTTATCTCACCCACCTTCCTCCACATCTCAACCCCCTCCATCTTAATCAGAGGCCTACACGGGTATGCATTCCTCCCAATTATAACCAATTTTAAAAATTTTAAATAAAGAAAAAAATATTAATCAAGTTTTCTATCACTGACAGCTGAAAACAAATAAGAAATCTTACCTATAGGAGCAGCAAAGATTTCCGAATAGGGTGAGGACAGGTTTAAATAGATTGGAGAAGCATTAACCAGGGTGAAGCAGAGAGGGGGTAATTCCAGCAAACAGGAGAGGACAGGCCAACAGCAAAGGAACACCTGGAAACCCTTGGACACGAGAAAGCAGTGGAGACAGCAAAGAGGTGGTGCAGTGGTCAGACACCCAACACCAATCCGCGATCACAACTCTACAAATGGCCAGGTGGGAGGGGGAATTCACCAGGAACTGAATTCAGGAGGTGAACTCAGGCATAGAATTGTCTGTCCTGTTGATCTGCTTAATCCGACCACAAGTATAAGCAGAGTGGGAGAGCCTTAGCAGGTGGGTGCAGGAACAGGGTGAATTTCACAGCTCAGGTCCCCACTAGTGCCACATCTGGTGCCATTTAGTGTACAGAGAAGGCTGTGGGGCTGGAGGAACAAAAGTTAGTTGCACATGCGCTAAGCCAGGAGTGAACTAACTTCCAACTCAGCCCATTGCACTGGTCCTACAGGGAAAACAGCACTGACTTGGCATCCTACAGGTTCTACCCAAAATAGGTTCAGGTGGCCCTCAGACCTAATGGCCAGCAGGTTATGGCAAGACCAGAAATGCTGACAACCCTGTGATTTAGGATAACTGGTGTCTCCCTAATCCTAGGTACTGCTCAAATCAGGAGGGGGAGAAAGGCTGTGCAGGCAACGGTATGGTCACAGCATGGGATCACAGGGAGTGAAGAGTGGTGAGGCAGGAGCTGGAGCTACAGAGACCATGGAGGACGTCTAGCATGAAAGCCTGGAACTGAAACTTGCTGGACACAGATAGGGAATCATGTACTAAACAGTCAATAAAACCAACCTGTAGACCTTAAAAACCATCCCTGAGGAGAATCTGCTATTCAGAATTGTAGTGACCAAGAGCAAAAACAAACAAAAAACAAAGGCACAATTCATATTACAGACACCTTCCTCACAAAGGAGCAAAAGCCTCTGTCAATTTCAGAGTTAACTGAGGAAGACATTAAGAAAATGGGGGATAAAAAATTTTTTAAAAATTTATTATAAAGCTTCTTAACAACAAGAAGCACATATAGGAATTCGAGGAATTTAAGGAATATGCTAACAGGAAGTAGCACTAATGAATCAAATCAAAGCCAACACACTAGAAATGAAGAACACATGCAGCAAATTAGAAATTCAGTGAAAAGCCTCAATAACAAAATGAAAAAGAAGAAAGAATCTCAGAATTGGAAGATATCTCTTGTCACAATGGGGAAACAAAAAGCTGGAAGAAGAACTAAATCAAGCTAAGAAAGCATTCAGCAATCAAGGGACACCATTAAAGGGCTGAATCTAAGAGTTACGGGAGTTCCAAAAGACAAAGAAAGAGAATCTGGGTTTACAAATGTATTTAATGAAATAATATGAATTTCCCTTATATGGAGAAAGAATTGGGAAACAAAATACAGGAGGACCACAGAACTCCCAACAGGGTTGACCAAAAGCAATCATTGCCATGACACATGATAATCAAGTTCTCTTCAATTAAACATAAGGAAAAACATCCTTAAATATTCATTTAAAAAATTAATTAAGTTATAGAGGTATCCCAATCAGACTCATAGCTGACCTCTCAGAGGAAACTCTACAAGCCAGAAGAGAATGGAGTGACATATCCAGATTCTAAAAGCAAAAAATTGTCAACCCAGAGTAATATACCTAGTGAAGTTTTCCTTTGTCTTTGAAAATGAAATAAAATTCTCTCACAGTAAAGTTAAAAGAATGTGTCTCTTCCAGACCTGCCCTCCAAATGATACTTAAAGATGTCCTATTGACAGAGAAAGGAATAGCACCTACCAAAACTAAAGGCAAGTGTGGACAATGTCCCAGTAAAATGACAAAAGACTAAATCAAACTATGAATGACCCATTCCTAAAATGACAGAACCAAATTGCCACCTATCAGTATTAATCCTGAATGCAAACAGCTTAAGCTTAATCAAACAAACATCATAGATAAGCAGACGGGATAAAAAAACAAAACTGATCTATCTCTTATGTATAGGAGATACACCTCACCAACAAAGACATGCAGAAACTGAAAGTGAAAGGTATAAAAAGATATTCCAAGGTATGGGAGGGTAAAATGAGCTGATTTAGCCATTCTTATATCAGATAAAACAGACTTTGATGTAAAAAACATTGAAAGAGATGAAGAAGGACACTATATAATGATCAAAGGATCCATCCAGCAAGAAAAGATCACCATATCAAATGCATGTGCACCAAATGCCAGGGCACGTAGCTATGTGAAACAAATATTAATAGATTTAAAGGGAGAAACATATCCAGAAACAGTAAAAGTGGAGGATCTTAACACTCCATTAACCTCAAAGGACAGATTAATGAGAAAGAAACTCAGCAAGGAAACAACAGATCTCACGTAGACATTAGAGCAAATGGACTTACTGAAACCATTAAATATATTTTGACAACAAGATACTGGACTTTCTGGATACTGGACTTGTCCATATCTACAACATCAGGAAACACTTAAATCCCAGAATAGATGGACTTATGACTAATTTGAAGGACTAAATCAGTAGATGGAGGGAATTTGGGAAGGGCAGGGAAAGAAATCCCTGATTCTATGAAACTATTCTATAAAATAAATACATTTTTAAAAAATTTTAAAGGAAAAAATTTTACTTATAAATGCTCAATCTCTATAGTGGGTAGTCAATGGGTAATGTCTATAAATCAAGAAAACATACTGAACATGATTTTCACCTAAAAGCGAATTATAGCAAATGACTAAAAATCACAGCTAAAAGTTAAACGTGAATGCCAATGAAGGGTGGCACCTAGGGGTAAGCAGGACAGGGGATTGCTGCTTTTCATTATAACTTCACAGTAAGATTTCTCAACAAGAGCGTTACTGACACTTTGGGCTCCACAACTTTTTGTTATAGGGACTGTCCCTTGTAACGGTTAGCAGTGTTTGTGGCGTCTATCTTCCTATTACATGCCAGCATCAACCCCTCATTGTCCCCTTGTTGTGACAGTTAAAAAATATTTCTGAGCAATGTCAAATGACCTTGTGGGGCAAAATTGCCTCTGGCTGTAAACTAATGTCCTATAATAATGATTCCTCTTAAAATGTTTAATAATACTCTAAATCTATTATTATGATAAAATTAAACAGCATGAAAAGGGCTAGATTGTAAACCACCAATGTTATTTTTTAAACACCACTCATTCTCCCCACCTCACCTGTCTTCCCTTCTTCCCACACCAGCACAGACAGAAGAACGGAAGTACTCACCACCTAGAAACGCACACTCAAAATGGCTGCAGGTCTTGTTCGTGCTCTGAAGGACGAGGTTACTGCTGTTCTCCTCCTTCGACACTTCAAAAAGCTCATTCATAGGTATTAAAAAAGTTTTATCACTTTTTTGATCAACAAGTTTTTCAACATCAACTGCAAAGCATGTGTTGATGGTCAACACAACACTGTTAGCTGCAGCTTGCGGTTTGGTTGAATGTGCCAACGTGAAACTGCCCAGTCTGGCTTGGTTTAGCCCTTTAAATGTAAACGAGGTCTCCTGGCTTGAATACATCACGTTTTTGTAACTCTCTTCACAGGGTCTTCTCAGCAACTGCAGAGCTTTGGTCAGATAAAAATGAAAAGCTTTGAACTGGAAGCCATAGATATAATCTTTCCGAGACTGCCCCGCTGTACGCACGGCCTCATTGAAGAGATGGTGAAAGGGGGTTTGCTCCTGAGCTTCTGAGAGATATGCCACCAGAGCTATGCCATGGTTGTCCTTGAAATTCACAGGAACAAAGACCTGGGACTTCCGGGTTTCCCACTTGACTTTTGCACTTTCCCACACACTTTCTAGGACCTGCTGGTTTGCCTTCTCCTCCTTGAGCAGCTGGGGAACGTATTTGATTTCCATCCTGTCAGCACACTTCCGGTATTCATCATCAAATGCATCATCTGCCATGTCTAACACTTGAGCCTTCACCTTAAAGAGAAAGGAAATCAATATTCTTGAAATACCATGTTTTCTGCATATCACTTTCTCTGACATTGTTACACCCGCCCCCTACTCCCCTGCCAAGAAATTCTCCTTACTTGGATTATCCACCTTAGTTATGTTTTTGACATAGGAAGTATATTCCATTGCTACTGATCATTTTTGGTAGTGACATATTTGAATGAAAGAGTAAATATTGGTGGGTGAGGACTGTGCCTGTAGCTCATTTATCTTAAAACTGTACTGCAGAAGAACAATGAGCATGAAAATTAAGATCTCTGTGGCAGTCTTGGCCTTGAGCAGTATTCCTAGTTACAGCTCTTCAAACCCTCAAGGCTGTTGGTGAATTTGAAATACCAAGTGTAACATACTACCCATGATAAACACAGAATGGCAAATAGCCCCTTCCCTTTTCCACATGGCTTGGGTAGTACTGATTTTGTGCCAATAGCTCAAAGGATAAGCAGGTGGCCGTGTCTAGCAATCCAAGCACTCCCAGGTAGATGGGACGGGGATGAGTCTTTTTTCCTTTAAAACCTTAAACTCTAAGGATAACATAGGCTTGGAATTCCCAGGTTATCAGTTTAGTCCACTGGAGAATGCTTCCTAAAAATACAGCAAGAGAGAAGGGCAGCCAGGGCTGAGAAGCAGGGAACAACATGAGGCCCTGAGAGACCTGTCTGAGTGCTTTGGTCTAGCAGCACCTAGAAGCTCTATTTTATTCCACATTAAGGATCAATGAATCTCCTGTTTGCTGAAGTTAGTTTGAATTGTTTCCATCACATGCAATAGAAAAGCCCTAACTGCATCTCGAAGTTATACACATGTTCACACAGCTTAAGAAGCAGGCTGGTGGGGCTGGTGGGGCTGGTGGGGCTGGTGGGGCTGGTGGGGCTGGTGGGGCTGGTGAGGCTGGTGGGGCTGGTGGGGCTGGTGGGGCTGGTGGGGCTGGTGGGGCTGGTGGGGCTGGTGGGGCTGGTGGGGCTGGTGGGGCTGGTGCCACGGTGCAGCAGGCAAAGCCAATGCCTGAATCTCATATGAGCACCAGATCATGTCCTGGCTGCTCCGCTTCTGACCATGCTGTATGCTAACGCGTCTGGGAAAACAGCAGAGATGGCCAGAGTGCCTGGGCCCATGTATGAGACCCCATGGAATTCTAGGTGCCTTACTTCCACCTGGCCCGGTGTCAGCCCCAGCTGTTTGGAAGGTGAACCAGCAAAAGGAAAAGATACCTATCTTTCTTGCTAAAACTCTCATTCGTTCTTGCTTTCATCCCATCCTCCTTCTCTCTGTCACTCTGCCCTTCAAATAAATAATTCTTTAAAAAGCAAAAGAAAAAAAAAGTTACAGGACAGTTTCTTTTATTATTATTTTTATTTCTTTTTTTAAAGATTTATTTATTATTTTTATTGGAAAGGCAGATATACAGAGAGGAGGAGAGACAGAGGAAGATCTTCCATCTGATGGTTCATTCCCCAAGTGGCTGCAACAGCTGGAGCTGAGCCAATCTGAAACCAGAAGCCAGGTCTTCCACGCAGGTGCAAGGTCCCAAGGCTTTGGCCATCCTTGACTACCTTCCCAGGGCACAAGCAGGGAGCTGGATGGGAAGCAGGGCTGCTGGGATTAGAACCGGCAACCATATGGGATCCTGGCATATGCAAGGTGAGGACTTTAACCACAATGTTATTGCACTGGACCCTATTATTAGTTTTTAAAGATTTGTTTGAAATGCAGAACAACGGAAAGAGAAGGAGAGACACAGAGAGACCTCCCATCCACTGACCTGCTCACCAAATGGCTTCCATAGACAGACCTGGGCCAGCCAAAACCAGGAAACAGGTGTTTCAACCAGGTTTCCCATGTGGGTTCAGGGGCCCAAGAACTTAGGACATCTTCTGTTGCTTTCCCAGGCCATGAGCAGGAAGTGGAGCAGCCAGGACTTGAACTGGTGTCCATATGGGATGCTGACACTACGGGTAGCAAGTTAACCTACTGTGCCACAGCTTGGGCCCCAATTAACACTAATTTGAAGTCAGGAGGATGTGTGTTCAAATTTTATTTGTTGCTAACCAGCTGCTAATTAAATATGGTGAAGTTTCTTGACATTTCTTAACCTTGGGGTTTTTTGTTTGTCTTTTGCCATTTTCTACTACTTTCCCAGGTGCATCAGCAGAGAACTGGAGCAGAAGTGGAGAAGCTAGAAGTCAAACTAGCACTAATATGGCACACTGGCATCACAGGCAACAGCGAACCCACTGTACCATAATGCCGGCTCCAGCAACCAGACATTTTGAAAGAGAAAAGTATCTTTGTCAAGTCTACTTGACTACCCACCTTCTTCTCAGGTCACCACCATTCATCTACCCAGGAAGCTCTCACTAAATGGGCATTTTTTTTTCTTGGAGTCTTGCATATTTAAAATATTCTAGCTGGCTACTAAACATTAGTGTTTCCCAAGGCTATTTATTTTCTAACTTGGAGTTCTATCCCTGGACACAGTTCCAATTATCATCTTAATTCTTCCATCTGTCCTGTAAGTGCCAGACTGGTGTATTAGCAGAGCTAACCCCAAGCTGGGGATGTCACTGCCAACCATAACAACAACCACCTGCTCCTAATTCCGATCACCTTTCTGTCTGTGCAGTCTTTCTGTAGAACTCCTTCTCAGTCACTTTCCATGGCTACTCCATCACCAAGGCCTGTCAGCCACTTCAAGTTCTTCCTGTACACCAGCTCTGAGAGCTTCATGTGAATGCCTCGCCTTGTCAGCTGGCTATCATTAGATCCATTTTTAAAAGATGAGGAAATTGAGACACTTGGAATTGAGATTTTAAATTAGGTAGTTTGGCTCCTAGTCGTATACTCTCAACCAAAATGTTTTGTGACTTTTAATAAATTAGAATGCTCACAAAACAGTCCCAACTGGAGATCATCATGCTTCATGAAATAAGCTAATCTCAAAAGGACAAGTATCTTATGTTCTGATATAAGGCAGCCTTTAGGTAAATCATGAAATAAATAATCAAGTATATACATATATTCTCACAGGTGAACTGTATAATGGAGACTAGCACTGGGAAGTTACATTGCAGTACATTATCTCTTCTCCTAAATAAAAGCAGGACTCCCATTTTGAAACACATAAAAATACCCAAACAGTAAGATACTAGATTTTCTACCTTTGCCTATGCTTACCACATCATGACACATTTAAACACTAGGAAGTTAATCTTTACTATTACTAAGCAATCATACTACTGTGATAACTTGGGGAGTAATAGTGGGAGGAGAAGACAGGGAGGGAGGAGAGAAGAATCCCTATATCTACAAAACAGTAGTGCAGTAAATAAGAAATATATAGATATATTTAAAAAAAGAATTAGACTGCTCCAATAATGACCTTTGGCAATCAGGTGCTTTTATGTACTTCTTACAGAGTTCAATTCTGTCCTCATAACAATTCTTATGAAGGGTTGGGCAGTAATTATTCACGCTATTTTACGAACGAGGGAAGTGGGGCCAGCATCAGAAACTGCCTAGATGGCCAGCCACAATGTATTCTGCTGGAATGGTCACGGAGACCCTTGCGCTCCTGGGTTTGTAGGTCAGTCTCTCGATGTGGAAATGTGAGCTTCCAAAGATCAAATCACACGGCCTCCTAGCCAGGAAATGCACTTTTCCTCTGCAGCACAGAATGTACCCCAGTTCAACGGGGGTATTTATGCTTGAATTACTTTCAAGACTTCAACACGGTAGAAGTTATCAGACCCTGAGCTCATCTCCCACGTTCCTCACATTATGTCAGAGTTGATCCAGTATGTTCCTGTCTTCCCCGAGCCGCTAATCAGCTTCCACATGTCTAATTTTAGACATCAAGCCTTTCTGGCCAGACACTACAGCTGATTTGTGTGTTCTGTACAACATGTGCCTTGAGCAATGACAAAGCTCACAAATGCCACCACCACTCAGGGACAACTCAATGGATATTAAGAAACAGGTACAAAATACTAAGTGAATTAGCTGATTGCATTCTCGTCCTCTGATTTATTCACTGAAACAACAATCCACAATGATGAAATTCAATTACTAAAAATTTATTACAAAAACAGCTGAAATGACTTCAACGTTCAAGGAGAGAAATCAGTTATATGCTTGAACAGCTACAGAACAAAGGCATTAAAATTCAGCTGCTAACAAAACATAAAGTGCAAATTAAAAACCATGAAACATTTCACACCTACTAGAAAGGCTATAATGATAGCACAAAAACAAAAGCAAAAATGATGGTCTGGTGCAGTGTCATAACAGGCTCATCCTCGACCTGCAGTGCTTTGTGTCCCAGCTGCTCCACTTCCTGATCCAGCTGTTTATGGCGCGGGAAAGCAGCAGAAGATGGCCCAAGTCCTTGAGCCCCTGCATGAATGCAGAAGACCTGGAGAAAGCTCCTGGCTTCGGACTAGACCAGATCTGGCTATTACAATCATTCAGGGAGTGAACTAAAGGGTGGAAGATCTTTCTGTCTCTCTGTCTCTGTAATCCTGACTTTCCAAGTAAAATAAATAAATCTTAATAATAATAAAAAGGCAAAAACACCACAAGAGTGCAGAGAATACACTGTTGGATGTTATTACGGCATCCACTGTGGAAAACGGTTTGGCAGTACCACGATAATTTAAACATAAGGATTGGCACTGTGGGTGCAGTGGATAAAGCGTATAATCCAAAACCCTGTATGGGTGCCACTTGGCCGCTCTACTTCTGATCCAACTCCTGATAACAGCCTAGGAAAAGCAGTGTGTTTGAATCCCTGCCTTCCACATTGGAGACCCAGATGAAGCACATGGATTCTGGCTTCAGCCTGGCCAGGTGTTGGCCTCTATGGTCAACTAAGGAGTTAATCAGTGGATGGAAGGTAGGTCTCTCTCTCTCTCCTTCCCTCTCTACAACACTTTCAAAGAAATACACAATTATTTTTTTTTTTTAAAAGATTTATTTTTATTATTTTTTCATTGGAAAGGCGGATATACAGAGAGGAGAGACAGAGAGGAAGATCTTCCGTCCGATGATTCACTCCCCAAGTGAGCGCAATCCGAAGCCAGGAGCCTCTTCCGGGTCTCCCACGCGGGTACAGGGTCCCAAAGCTTTGGGCCGTCCTCGACTGCCTTCCCGGGCCACAGGCAGGGAGCTGGAAGGGAAGCGGGGCTGCCGGGATTAGAACTGGCGCCCATATGGGATCCCGGGCGTGCAAGGCGAGGACCTTTAACCACTTGCGCCATCGCGCCGGGCCCCACAATTATTTTTAAAGAGAGCTGAATAAGAAGATATCATATTACTTGGCAATTGACTCCTTGGTATACACCCAACAGAAGTGCAATATATTCCTGACAACAGGTACTTCCATTATCATATATCATAAAGCATAGCTTCTCAAATTAATTTTCATACATATGAATGACCTTGCAAAAGTTCACTGAAATGTTTGTCATGAAAAAACTATACATCGATTTTAAGAAACTCACTCCAAAACAAAACTATCTTTGATTTCCATGTTCTACTTTTGAAGTGCACTTGAATGTTCACCCAAAAACCTGTACCCAGTGCTCACATGAGCACTACACCTGACAGCCATGAAGTGAGACAAATTGTCCATTAGCTGCTGAAGGGATAAATACAATCTGGCACATACACTGGAGTATTGTTTCAGCATAAAAAGAGTGAAGTACGAATAGATGCTACAACATGGATGAACTCTGAAGGCATGATACTAAGTGGAAGAAACCTGATACAACAGACCATTTATTATAAGTTTCATTCAGATTAATTGCCTCAAGGAGGCAAATCCAAAAAGACAGAAAAGAGATTAGGGGTTACCAAAACATGTGGAAAGGGTATTGGGGCTGACTGCTAATAGTTATACGGCTTCTTTTTGGGTGATAGAACCCTATGTTTAATGTCATGGAGAAACATGGGGCAGAGCAGTAACTTAAAATAGGAAGAAAAAAGCAATATGCAAATCATTTACATATGCAAATTCTGTATGTGAATATAAATTCATTTACATACAGAAAACAGAGAAAAGGCCTGATACAAAGGTGGTGATTATCGTGATGATTATTTTACTTAATGAATTTACTAACAGCTATAGAAACGTACACTTCAAAATGGCAAATTTTGGGCCCGGCGCGGTGGCGCAGTGGTTAAGGTCCTCACTTTGCACGCCCGGGATCCCATATGGGCGCACGGGAGACCCGGAAGAGGCTTCGGATTGGCATAGCATCGACCGTTGCGCTCACTTGGGGAGTGAATCATCGGACGGAAGATCTTCCTCTCTGTCTCTCCTCTCTGTATATCCGCCTTTCCAATAAAAAATAAATAAATCTTTAAAACAAATGGCAAATTTTGGGTGAGGGCATCTGGCACACTAGGTAAGATGACGCCTGGATGTCTGCCGGTTAGAATCCAAGTTGCACCTGCAATGCTTGCGTCCCACTAACGTACGCCCAGGGAGGCAGGAGGTGAGGGCCACAACACCCAAGCCGCTGCCACTCAGTGGAGAATGGATGGACTTCCAGGCTCCTGGCTGCAAACTGGCCCAGGACCCAGCTATCACAGCTATTCGGGGAGTGAATTAGAGGATTAAAGATTTTTTTCTTTCAAATAAATGGACAGAAATTAAACAAAACTTAATGTGTCAACACCTATCTTTTTAAGGAAAAGCATTAAATTTTTATTATGCACAAACTATACACTGGTATAGGCAACTGAATATATAATATTCTATATATAACAAATCAGGATATTAAATTTTAAAATGGATGAAACATTAATAATTTAAGATTCTTTAGACATTCAAAATAAAAACATAAATATTTTCCTAGTAGTTGTATGGCAAGTAGTAATGTTGGGGGGAATCAAGGGATAGCCATCTCATATGTTACTGGATACATAGAGATTCAGGATCTGGAGTTGTCAGTTACTGCCTGGAACACTAGCATCCTACACAGGTACCAGTTCATGCCTCTGTTGCTCCACTTCCAACCCAGAGCCTGGTTAACACTTGGAAAAAGCCCAAGAAGATGACACAGGTGTTTGGGCCCCTGCCACCCACTGAGACACCTGGAGGAAGCAGCTGGCTCCTGACTTTGGCCCGGCCCAGTGCTGCCATTGTGGCCACCAGGAAAATGAATCAGTAAATGTAAGATCTTTTCTCTGTAATATTCAAAATAATAAAATCTTTAAGTACAAAGTAAAAGCACTTAAACATTCAATTGCAAATAAACTCAAAGATTGTCTAGCAGTAGGAAAATACTGAATATCAGAAAACTATCATATTATTTAATAAAAATCATGTAGCAAAAATGCATCATTATTTTATATGAAGAAAACCTCATGATATTTTCTATATATTTAATGACATGGAGAACATGTGGCATTCCATTAACTTAAAAAAAGAAAAAAAAAAACTATATAAATCCATTTTTGTCAATTAAATACCCCCAAACAGAAAAAAGACGAAAGATCTTATACAAAGGTACTTCAAAAACTCTGTGGAAAAAATAGAATTATTTTGGTTTACAAAAATTGAAACCCATGTACAAGAAATGTCAGCATCATCAAAAATAAAATGAATTTATTATTAAAGAAATGTCTTTAAAAAGTTCATGGAAATGCATATTTAAGAAGTTATGCACATTTCAAATATTTCTGCATTAAAGCAAATTTTCTTTTTAATTTTATTTTCACCACTACAAACAGCGTAAATAAAAGACTAAATATAAGAAAGTGGTTATTAGAAAATCCTTCTGAGAGCAGAGACTACAGATATTTTTTCACTTTTCTAACTTAATTTGAATTTGAGCTTTCTACAATTAACACATATTACATCTCTAAAATAAAGCGTAGCACTTAGGATAAATTCATTTCCCTACTCTATCTGCTCTCGTTTCCACCGTCTATCCACAGACATGTTCAGGCAATGTGAAATCTAGAGTTTCCATTCCAATGGCCACATGCTTCCCATTCCTAGCATTACCTGGAAGACGTCCATTAGAATCACGGTTGCCAACAGCATGGTGACTACTCCAAAATGTCCCGTCTTCATTTTTCTCTTCTAGAATAAAAGGAAGAAATTGCGCATTAGCTGACTTCAAAAAGAGGGTTGGAGGAATACAGTAGGATGATACATACGTGCTTTCACTCTGGCCTAAGGTGGGTATGGTGACATTCAGGAAGTGATTAACAATGAATTCCAGATGGCCGGAACTGTTCTTTTGTTTAATGTCCTGGTCTAACACCCTGATTTTACAGGTAAGAATACAAAAACTCTGAGAAGTGCAGCAATTTGTCTTTAGCAAATTAAACAAAAAAACAAAAAAACATAAAAATTTTCCAGGTTCCTCCAGACACACGTCTTCTCACCCAGCACACTTACTGGTGGCATATTTTTCTGTATCTTAATGTTCCCTCAGTATGCACAGGAAATAAATTCAAACTAAAGAACAGCAGTCTTAGATTGATACCTTAGCACTCAGAATCTAAAAATTATCCAGGAATTTGCCCACTAAACATATTACCCATTTCTATATTGTCTACGCAAACTAAGGCGTTCCCATTTGGTATGCAAATAGTGAGGCTGGTAACAGCGTTTCATTAGAACTGGTCTTCTTCCCTCAAATATTCACCATCAAAAGAAGCATAAGGATAAAATAAGAGACTTACAGAAGTTCCTGAAGGCAGGATTGAGAATGAGAAGGAACTGGGTGGGCAGCGCTTTCAATAAGATTATACAACTCTACTGGCTGTACGCCTGAGACTCATTCCACTCCTCATGATATGGAAAGGGGTAAACAGGAGGCTAAGAGGCCCGCAAAGGCAGGGACAATCTCCAAGCTAGCAACAACCGAGTTAGAGATTACAAAGGTTACTTCCACATATCTCCAACAAAGCTGACATTACTGGAACTAAAGGGAACCTCTATTTTATCCTTCCATCACCATGTTCTAGATTCCAAAAATGGGAAAGAACAGCACAGGGAAAGGGAGAAAACCTTCCCGTTTGTAGGCACTTTGGCCCATTTTCCTTCTCACTAAAGACATCGAAATGAAGTGCCAAATGCCAGTTTTGCGCTGACCTTATCTCTCCAAAAGAGATTTAGAATGTAATACTTCACAAATACCTGTCACGAGGCAGTATGCTGCAAAAGAGACCCGGAGTGAGGTTTCCCTGACATTTCTTGGCTTCTTTCTGTAATCTGAATGTAAATAAGTCAAAATGTTTACCTGGCTTTTGTGTCTTGGAAGGAGGTTTAAATGATGCTAGGTCTCAAAATGACTGCCCCGTCTCAGCTATGGTGAGCGTGTGTCTTCAGGACGGGGATGTTGTTGACAGTGAGAGCTGAGAAGGGAATGCTTTTCTTTTTATAAACACCCCCAGCTTGGCATGGGCACATTACCCCACTTGTCTTCTGCTATTTATATCTGGCCCCCCCACTATGCCTTTGGAATCACTGCTGTTAACACTTTAAATCTCCAAGTGGTTTGTAAAGCCACAGCAATTCTTTCTGACCACACAGAGCATGTTTGTTCATTAAGCTCTGAGCTTACAGTGTTGAATAAAAGCCTGGGTTTTCCTATAGCAAGACCGTTCACTCTACTAAGGAGACTTGCTCTGTAAGTTACTGGCAATGGTGATGGCTACCACCATTCTCTAAACAGGTTTACCATATCTCAGGTACTTTTCCTGATGCTGGAACACACAAGAGACTAAACAAAACACCAAAAAGCACTTAAGATCTAATCAAAGAAATGACTATGCAAGCTTAACCAAAAAAAACGAGTTAATAACACTAGGTATAGGTGAGACCCTTCCAGAGGCAAAAGTTGGGCACTGTCTGTAATTACAGCTTTCATATAAATCAGGCAATTTAAATAAGGTAAATATATTGATTCAGCACTGAACACCCTTAGGAACTTAATGGACCAGATCAAAACTTGGATTTTGATGACTCACTAATGATCAAAACCATGAAATACATTAGGATATTCACTCAAATGTACCTCAAACATGAGAATGTTTATAATACTGTATTACACAATAGCCCCAGACTGATATGCATCTAAAATGGCCATTGATAGAACACATAAGCTATGACGTAACTGTTCAATAAAATTTTAACAAACTCTAAGCATATGCAATAATGTAGATAAATCTCATAAGATTTTGAATAGACAAATAGGTATGCACTGAATGATGTAATTCATATGAGGTATAAAATCAGGCAAAACACATCAACAGCAAAAGGAGTCAGAATAGTATTCATCCTGGGTGCTGGGCAGTGTGGAGTACACGGAGGCAGCTGAGATGCTAGTTGGGTTCTGATTCCACTGAAGATTCAGTTTGTGAAAATTCAGAAAACTAGATACTTACAGATTTTCCCGTACCTGTCGCTTCAGTGAAACATTTCAAATTATCATAAAGTATACGCACATTTACAAATCTACCTTTTACTCTTCAAATACCTCTAAAACTTAAAACCTCTTGTCAGGGGCCTGGCATGGTAGCCTGGTGGCTAAAGTCCTCGCCTTGCACATCCGGGATCCTATATGGACTCTGGTTCCTATCCCGACTGTGGCCTGGGAAAGCAGTGGAGGGCGACCCAAAGCCTTGGGACCATGCACCTGCATGGGAGACCCAGAGGAAGCTTGGGATCAGCCGAGTTCTGACCATTGCAGCTACGTGGGCAGTGAACTAGTGGATGCAGGATCTTTCTCTCTGCCTCTGCTTCACTCTGTAAAAATCTGACTTTCCAATAAAAATAAATACATCTTTAAAACAAAACATAACAAACAGCACCTCTTGCCAGCTTACTGGTTAATCAATCTAATAGAAGACTCCCAGAAATAGTATCATTTAAAAATGGATGTGGTGTGGGCCTGCCGCAATGACGCAGTGGTTAAGGTCCTCGCCTTGCATGCCCTGGGATCCCATATGGGCGCCAGTTCTAATCCCGGCAGCTCCACTTCCCATCCAGCTCCCTGCCTGTGGCCTGGGAAAGCAGTCGAGGATGGCCCAGGGCTTTGGGACCCTGCACCCGCGTGGGAGACCCGGAAGAGGCTCCTGGCTTCAGATCGGCATACATCGGCCGTTGCGCTCACTTGGGGAGTGAATCATTGGATGGAAGATCTTCCTCTCTGTCTCTCCTCTCTGTATATCCGCCTTTCCAATAAAAATAAAATTTAAAAAAATGGATGTGGTGAATTGGGTTATGGAGGAAGAAGAGTTCAACACGTTTCAAAGTCAGGTTTCAATGATAAGGCTTTTCAATCTCAGGCTTGTTGGTTTAACAGGAATGAGATAGCTGGGATTTGTGTCTCTGGCCTCCCAAGAAGTATCAGATTCACCGAAGATCGATTTAGCAGAGACATAACAAGCACTGGATGAAACTCAAGGTCACTCTGGCTTTGTTCATCCTCAAATGGTTTTGTCAATTCTTGCTTTTTCCATTTTTTTAAACTGTGGCTTTTTTTTTTTATTCACTCACTCTACAAATATTTGAGTCCTTAAAATGCGTAAGGCATTATTTTAAGTACTAGCATATATCAATGAACAAAACAGAATATGTTCTTGTAGGAGGAGACAGCTAATAACGTAAATTAAAAACTGAACTGGAGGGCCCGGCGCAGTGGCGCAAGTGGTTAAAGGTCCTCGCCTTGCACGCCCGGGATCCCATATGGGCGCCAGTTCTAATCCCGGCAGCCCCGCTTCCCTTCCAGCTCCCTGCCTGTGGCCTGGGAAAGCAGTCGAGGACGGCCCAACGCTTTGGGAACCTGCACCCGTGTGGGAGACCCGGAAGAGGCTCCTGGCTTCGGATCGGCATAGTATCGGCCATTGCGCTCACTTGGGGAGTGAATCATCGGACGGAAGATCTTCCTCTCTGTCTCTCCTCTCTGTATATCCGCCTTTCCAATGAAAAAATTAAAAAAAAAAAACTGAACTGGATATGATGGAATACCGTCAGCATTACTGTTTGCTCTGAAGAAGCACCAAGCAGACTGGGTGTTCAGGGAGAGGTTCGGTGTGCACTGGATGGTTAGGGAGGAAGTGGTCCCAGAGCAGAGACCTGAAGCAAATCGGCGAGAACAGTCACGAGGCCTGTGATGGAAGGCTAGTCAAGCAGCGGGAAGAGCAAGAGCTGAAGTCCCGGAGCAAGAGCATGCTGGGTTTATCCTAGAATAGCAAAAAGAACAATACACCTGGGGAAAACACGTAGTAAGGAAGAGCGGTTACGTGGACACCTGGGGTCTGCTCACTTGGGCATCGCCACATGATCATCCAGTAGTGGGAGTTGCTCGGAGTCAGCTTTGTGACAAAGAGACAGTGGGATGATAGAGAATCCTAGAGAAATTGCTCCCTATTCTCCCAACGCATGAAGAAGACACTTAACAGGACTTTTAGGGTGAAAGGAGTGTCCAGTAGGTGGAAAATGGGACTAGCAGAGCCCCTCTTGCTTGCAATGCATATTTATATATTTATTATATATTGAAAAATCTGACTCAGACCTTTTCTGCCAGCTTTGCCTGTTTCCATCTGAGTATAGTCTGGCAGATTTGGTCCCATCTGAATACAATCCTGCACAATAAACTTTCTTGGAGCATCCCTTAACCATTTCAAACTATTTCAAATTCTCTAGCCTTATCTTTGTTTCTCTGGTGCCTAAGTTCTAAGGCTGGAGAGTGAAGGATGGTGGTAGGAGGGTCATGGAAGTCTTTGTAAGACTTGACTTTACTCTACAAGAAAGGCGGAAGACCACAGGGTTCTCAGGGGAGGTATGGAATAGGGCGACTTTTTTAAAGTAAGCAGAAATTTAGGTGACTGGAACCAGGACAGTAGCAATAATGAGAAGTTGGGGAGGGGGGTATACGCGCACATATGTGTTTGTGTTGTTGTTGCTAAGGTGGTAAGCAGTAGACACGCATGTTTTATTGTTTGGTTGTTAGAAAGAGGCCGTTTTTATTGGACTTATTAAAAATTGTACTTTTGAGGACCAAATCAAGTATCAGAATTTTATATGATGAGAAAGTATTTGTAATTCTAAAAGCTATTGTACATTTTTAATAATTAATCATTCACAGAAGACAAGTGAGAATGATCTTCGGACATCAAAATTAAAACATCTGAACTTAAATTAAGGATGTAGGAAAATGAGGCAACTGTAGGAACAGACAGATCGTGTAAGAGAGAAGTGAAACAGGCAAGATACAGCTGTCACAGACTGAAATGAGGAAACCGTAAAGCAACTGAGACTCTCCTATGTTGTTGGTGGCACTACAAAAGGACACAGCTTCCCAGACACAGGATGGAAAAAAGACAATGTGGAAACAATGGTCTTACCCACTTTCCTGTAGCCCTTGACCCTTTGAGTCCTAATCAACTATGCAAAGATCATTAAAGTAAAATGAAATACCTAACTCAGAAAAAAACCCAAAAGGACAGCTACTTCTGAAAACAATTAGGCAGTTGTTGTAAAGTTAAACATATGTGCACACTGTAAAACTCAGCAATCCACCCAGGAATTGAGAAATGAAGACAAAACATGCAAATCAGTTCTACTCGTAATACTTAAGAAACAACCCAAATAGTCAATGAATGAAAAGTGCAATATGAAGTAATAAACTTCCTCAAAATATTAAATACAGTTGTAAATATGACCTAATAATTCCACTGAGGCATACATCCAGCATACATGAAAATACACATTCACACAAAAATCTGTATACAAATGCTCAGAGCAGTATTATAATGACAGCTAAAACAGTGGCTCAAGATTTCAATCCAAACGTCCATCATTTATTGAATGGAAAAATACGTTGTGTATAGGCCTTCATTAGAATTGTCTTAAGCTTTAAGAAGGAATTAAGTGCCGGCATGTTTGTGTTTATGCAATATCTCCAGAACAGCCAAATCTATAGGCACAGTGCAGACGACTGGGTTTCTGTCTAGGGATAAAGGGGAAATGAGGCACCCGGCTAACGGGCAGCAGCTCTCTTCTCAGACAAGCTCGTTTTCTGTGAATCTCATCTCTTCACCAGAGTTCCTGGCAATCTCTGATCCACTTCCTATTACAGTTCTGATCCTTTTTTAAAAGCATGACTACTTATTACAGTCAGTATGTAATATTTGTTGCTGACTTCTTGGTTCAATGCTTTGAAATCCATCTTTGCTGTTGCATGTATCAGCAGCTTTTGAAAAAATTGTTTTTAATCTGAAAGGCAGAATTACATAGAGAGAAAGAGAGACTGAGAGATCTTCCAGCTGCTGGTTCATTCCCCACATGGCCACGGTGGTCAGAGCTCGGCCAGCCCAAAGCCAGAAGCCAGGAGCTTCTTCAGCGACTC